ACTGGAAGAACAGCATACCGACGTGGGGATCGCGATCACTACTGCGTGACGCAAGTTAAAAGACCGCAGGCTAGTAATCGTACCCCACTTGCTGAATTTCTCGTCCACAGCCGAGTTACTAGACGCCCATTGGGGGCTGACGAACTGCCCGCTGTCTAAACGAACTCAGATCCCAATTCCTTTCGCAATCTCGTAAATTCTTCCACTTTATCCAGACAGCTCCAGGAGGTCTGGTTGCACCTTGAGCCAGTGTCTGATCATCGCTCATGTTTCCAGATGGCCCTGCACAAACTATGGCTCGTGGCACACGTTCTCTTCGTGACGAGTCCCGTGACCCAAGCCTCTTGGAGCCGCCTGCTGACGGACGTGATACCCGGATTAAGAACAACGCCGGAAACGCCCCCCACTGCTGAAAACAAGTCCAGTGAGTGCCAAGGACTCGTTCGTCTTCGATGGCGCCATCAGAGCTCCGTGAAACCACGCTCCATCTCACTTTACGATGGACCGCGACAGACGTTACGAGCCATCGGCGCCAATCCAATGCCGTGCGTGTGACACGCGACCTTCGGGAGGGCCGCAGCGACGCGTGAGGTCACGTGGTATGTTGGGAGCGCTGGATTGGCTGGGATGGTTTGTAGCGTCGGCTGCGGTCCATTGTGTAGTGAAAGGGAGTGCAGCCGGCGGTCTTCCGTCATTACTCGCTAATTAATCGTGCTCCCGTCAGAAACCAAAATACAAAACAAGCTAGGAGAGGACGCTGCTATTAGACAGTGTGGTAATTGCGAGGCACCCTGTAGTACGTGGCACGGTTAAAAACACGCTGTTCCTTGTTCGCGAACACGAGACGCTGTTCGTTTTATTAGCGCACTCCGTAATCGGTGTCGTCGAATGACCAACGAACAGGTTTGATATTCGCTGCGAGCAGAAAACCGTTCTTGGAGGAGGAGAAGGAGGGGGGATTTAATTTTAGTTGTAGCTATACACTTGGCGTCAACGGCGTTGTACTGCACTGTCGAGGTTAACTTGGTTTCCGAATGCTGCAGCCTGGAACTCCCACGTGAGCACATGGCTTCGCCTTATGTCTCACTGGCTGTGTTGCCGGTCATACCCGAGTACCCTGTCTCCTACGTCAGCGGTAGTGCCACGTGACATCGCGAGTAGGCGATCCGAGACTCGATTTTGGAACGACCAAGATTATCACTTGTATACTACGCGGATTGACTTCGTCTTCAGCCACAGCAAAAAGAAAGCACAGCAGCGACGGCGCAAAATAGCAGAGGATCGCTTTTGATCATGGAGGAAGCATTCGAAGAGACAATAATATTAACCGCCGCGAAGTTTTACATTGGCAGTGACGGCGCGTCGTTTTCGTAGGTGGCTACATCGGCTCCACTTGCTTACCTTCCTTTTGGGCTGTATATTGATCGAAATTACTTGCTCCTTTCAGTTAGACATCAAAAACTTGTTTTTATTAATCGGCGCGATCGCTGGAAGCCTAGTCCAGATGCCCTAAACGTACACGTTCCCCGCACCGTAATCCAACGCCGAAGACGAGGATGCGGAGTAGCTCCTGTTTACGCTCATACTCTAATAATGGAGGCTTTTAGCAAACCTTTACCGTGTTCCGCGTACCGCACTACCGGAGCCTTTGAACCATGCTTTTAAACCAGCGCCCTGCGGTAATATCACTCGGGCGCGTGCTTAATAGTATGCTTCAAAGGCTCCGGTAGTGTGGAACACGGTAACGTTTTGCTGAAAGTTAATATTAACAGACCTATACCTCCCTGCAGAAGTGGCATGGTGTGTATGTGGTGCATAGTCAATTCGTGTTAAAAAACAGAAAACCGTAATAACCACGTAAATTGCTGGACGTCGGATGCCGCGGTCCTGGCGGTTGCTTGTAGAAATGCTAGCGAGAAGTTGCGAGTAGCACAGCCGAACGCGAGTGTCGCTGTCGTCACGGCGTCCCAACCTCTGGCTGCTCAAACTTCCGTGGACTGCCACATTGGAAAGCGAGCTGCAGTAGAACAGGCGTCTGCCAGATACACCGCCGCTCTTGGGACGCCGCCAGGATGGCGACTGGCGACAGCGTGACACCTGTATGATGGCCATCGGGCGGAAATCGAGGGACCACTTTTTTGGACGCGGTAAACACGCCAGTTTGAGACGCGTTTCAGACACCACAGCAACGTTGCATAACTGGTTTGGTGGCGCTCTCGTATGGTTCTTATGCCTGACGCCACGACCAAGATTATTAGTAGCGAGCGACGAGTTCGATGGCGCGTAGAAAGCGCGGTTGAAGCCACACGTTCGTCCTCTATTCGCGGCGAGAAGTGTGGGTATCGCCACCTGGTGCAAGTTTTTCACAACCCAGAGTGAGGATTTTTCAACTTCCTCTTCTGGTGCGAGCACGTGCAATGCCAAGCTTCTAAGCACCATGAAAACTAAAAAATAACCGAAAGCATAGGCGCGGGCACATGGCTTTCACACCTGCTTTCCTTTCACGAGTGCTCGTGAAAGAAAAGGAACTATGACAGCCAGGTGCTAGGGCCTGTGCTTTTGCCTCTGCTACAAGCAACTCATCAGATGGGTAGCTTTCCCGCTTGTGTACCTTTTTGTTACCATGGATTCCACAACATGAGCGATTCCCTCAAACGCAGAACTAGCTCTTTGGTTGAACGTAGAGGCACAGGACATAGTAAAACGGAGATAACTTATGGACAGCACACACAGCCAGGAATGGTTATTTTAGGTACGAAATCTCACTGGAATGTTAGAATGCAATAATTTTAAGCACGTAAATTTAAATGTTTCTCATGTTCTAGAGGTTGTGATTAAACTGCAATTGTTAATTGAGATGACAAATAAAGCATAAAAACTAAACCTAGGGTCCATATAAATCTTCTTGCAATACCGAAGTATTGCGAAATTTCCAGTGTTGGGTAAAGTACATCTAAAAGGCATTTTAAGGAAAGTATAAAGTAAATGAGACGGGATGTAATTCAAGTAAAGTAGTAAGTACACAGAGTGCAATGTACTATAAATAGAATGTACTTTTAAACTAAAGTACAAGTATTTTAACACAATCTTTCATGGTGCCCTTTCATTCCCCTATACCAGTGGTTCTCGACCATAGATGTTTCGCGGACCCCTTGTGGATCGGCAGATAGTGGAGGACCCCGTTCGTGATGAGGGAAGGGCAAAGGTATAGGTTAAATATAATAATTTATTAAATGGATATAACTAAGGCCTAGTGTAAAGTAGACCTCTATTATTGACATACACACGAAAAAACTCGTCCGGGAAACTGAAACGTTTTTACTCGACCTGAAATAATACAACTTTTATTGCCGGGCTTGACTGACGAGGCAGGGCTTCGCGGACCCCTACAAGGCCTTTGCGGGCCCCAAAGCGTCCGGGGACCCCCATTTGAGAACCACTGCCCTATACAGTTTTTTTTTTAACTAGTATGCATTGCCCAGGGGTAATCGGGGGCGCATGACCTAATTTCAAAAACAGAGGCAAAGTGGCCACAGAGTACTTATTTTCAGGAATGGAGCAAAATTCAGAAATCCTTCTGAATTTTGTGCCGCTTGCGCTGGATTGTTGCGGCCAAAGGGGTTAAATGTACCAGGAGAGAGCATGACGTCAGCCCCGTAGCTTCCGCAAGCAATCCCCTCATAGAGGGGTGTCCCCTCTAAAAAAAGCGAGTGTGCGAGCGAGCTCGTGATGATTAGTCAGGATGTGACACCTGAAATTGCGGTGCGATAAAAATAAGGAACTTCAAGTCGAAGGAAAATACAAAACAATGTCTCCAAACATTGTGACGTTCACCTATGTTGTCGTTTTCTTCGACTTGGAAGTTTAATTTTTACGGACCACAGTCTCAGGTGCTACATTACGATTAATTTTGTCTCCTAATATTTTAAACCTCCTCCCTTGCGCTGACCGACCGGGAAGTAGCGAAGGTTCAAAAAGCGTCATCCGCTCACGTTTCTGGTGATCAAAATCCCTCCCAGTTTTTCTTCAGAGTTGACAAAGCATCACTTCGTGATACAAATTGAACAAAATCAAATTTCGGGAATGTACTTTGAGGTCGGGAATTGTACTTTCCTCGGAAAGTACCAGAAAGAAATACAAGTACAAGTACATACTCAGAGAATGTACTTCAAGTAAAGTACAAGTTACCTAAACCCAGTTGAAGTAGTACTTTAGTCTTAAGTACAATGTACTTAGTGTACTTCCCAACACTGGAAACCTCGAATTGAAAAAGATACCGCCAGGACATCGCAGCATATCGTATGGGGAGTATTCACTGGCAGCCATAGCGTGCATGACTGCCGAGCGCGTGCTGACGGCGAGCATCCACAGTTCTTTTGCAACTGCGTTAAGATTGCCGGTTTCAGCAACCTATTAATATGAGCTCGTTCTGAGCATGCGCTATGAACAGCGCACTTAAATATGGCGTCCAGTGAATACTCTCTAAACACAAGCCGAAGTTTTATTCAGAAATTGTGCCAAGTCTCGCTCTGGGGAGTGCTTTCCTCTAACCACGCGGGTGCGCTGCGGCGAAGCAAGACACGCAAAATCGCGATCGCAGCTGCCGCTTCACTGCACTACATTAGTGTGCAATGAGATGCGCTCTCAACGAAACTAACCCGGCAGAACAGTCAACAGATCACGAACACGATAATTGTTGGGAAACTCCCGAGTACTGTCAGTGTACACGCGAAATCAAATGAAGTAGTACGCTATTTGAGACTATTATCGAAAGTTCTGGGAACCCGGACAAGCATATCGTAACTATCCGGCCGGAGAGCGAGGCCTGAGCTATTTATTTTTCAGAATTATTAAAGTGAAATGAAGTATTAGCGTGATGTTGGCGCATATTCCTTACATTTCGGTAAAATGTAACGGGATGTAGAAGGGTAAGCCCTTTGGCGCAAATGGCGCAGCAATCGCATCGCTGCATTAATGTGAGTCTTTGCATCTTGAAGTAATACGATCCTTTTACAGACCACCTGGTTTACGAACAGTACAACAATGCTGTGGAAGACCTGCTGGACTCCATCCTGGCAGCACACAACCTGCCCAGCGAATCGGAGAACAGGAAACGCGACAAGCGCAGTACCTCGCTGGACATCTCGATCAAGGACACGCTTGGTATGTGCCACACATCTACAGAACCAATACATGTTCTACATTGATTGATCGAAAATAACTCTACACTTCGTTTCACCTAAGGTCCGGGCGCGGACGATGTTATGAGCCGAAGGGCCAATCAAACCGCGCAAAAAGCGCAACGTCATGGTGTGCTCTCTGCGCTTGATAGGACTAACCGGCGGAGAAGCACGCACAGAAAGACGACGAATGCCGGCTAGTCCTTTCAACTGCAGAGAGCACGCCATGGACGTTGTGCCTCTTTCGCTCTTTGATTGGCCCTTCGGCTCATAACATCGGCTGCGCTCGGATCTAAGCTGAAACAAAGTATAATGAGCATATTTTGCCACTTCCACTTCATTTTATGTTTTAACTAGAACGACTTTGTTAGCAGCTCTGAATATTTCAATAACTATTCATACACTTTGCATCAGGTTTGGAGACCACCGCATGGCAACAAGTTCGCGTAATCCTTTCGCGACAATACGTTCAACGTTGTGTGCAACTAAACTCCCGGACAGAATGAGAACGGCAGATTGTCTCTCGGGTGCTCCAGCAAGTGGTCGACGACTTCCGTCGTGCTTTGGCTCCGCGTGTAAGCTCGAGGCTCATAACGCCGACGCAATATCTAAGGCAGGAAGCTCGTTTTAGAGGTGAAAAGGCCAGAGGACCAACCTCTCGTTTTCGTCCTTTCGGGGACCGTGCATGGCTTGCATTGACGTCTCATTAACGGCTATTATGGTGGCCTGGCTGCTGAGCATGTGCCTTATGCAGCATGCACGTGGCTCTACAGAATTTGCTGCGCGCTACGAATGCGTAAAATAACCAGTATGGTACTATGACCCGCAAGCCACGCGTAGTGCACAGGTGTAAAATCTTTTTTCACACGATGTATGCATGGTCCGGTTTGTCATTCTTTTAATGGCCGTATTCTTCGTAAAAAAAATAGCAATTCATATTTCACTTGTTATCTTTGTTTCGTTTCAATACCAAAAAGTATTTCGAAAATATCATCACAATTACGCTCTTTTAAGAACTTAAGAAATTCCCCCATGTCCATGTGATGGTCCCTGCTGGCATTTTGCTTGGTATTGAAGGCTAGCTCGGCAAACTTGTGAAACTTTCGAAGGCTGTCAACGGACTGTCCCTCAGTGACCAGGAGCTCTTCCTGATGCTTGAGACCAATCCTTTGCCAAGTCTGGTTTTTGATGACGGACCACGCTTCTAAACATTCGCTGGATGGTCCTTCGAAGCAGATGATTCCAGGTTTGCCGGGCAAACAGAATCCAGACAGGGAACCTTGCGTCCCGCACTCGAGGATCAGCCGTCGCTTGTTCTTGTTGTAGATGTGGTGACTAGAAATTAAAGGTGGCGAAAGAAAGATTCAATTCATAAATGGACCAAGTATTCAATATGCTTCGTTTGATTATGCTAAGCTATACACAAATCCAATGTTTACAAATGCACAGCCCAGCGTGCGATCTCCGCAGTCCAACATGTGCATGTTCGACCGAGCGAATGACGTGCCATACGCACGAACGTTAAAAATGGCCCCAGTCAAAAGTCGTTTGTTAATGGATTATTGGGGGTATTCACTGTCGCCCCAGTCCGCTGGCAATGGGAGCGAGCTAACGGCGAGCTTCTGCAGTGTTTTTACCAAGTTAATTTCCAGATCATCAAGACTACCGGTCTTGGCAGACTAAGTGTGCCCTCGTTCTGGGCGTGCTAAGTGAACAACGGGCTTAAATATGTGTGGCACTCAGTGGGTCAAGCGATGTTTTGGCGAACCCCGAGATTTCATCGAAAGTCGTTGAGCTAGCTGTAGGCCACACGACAACCGTCGTTGTCGTGTGGGCCAGGTGTGTCAACATTTTTGTAATGATGAAAAGGTCAATCGATAAATAGTAAATAAACAACTCATGTCTGTCCTCTTACAAACCGTTTCTTTACACGGCATGCAGCACCACGGAGTGCTCACTCAAGTGTTATCGAATGGAATTGTGGCAGTTTGGACAAGATGCCAAAATTTAAACTACGAAAATGTGCTCACCTAACTATCCAAAGTCTCGTAAACGACCGTACTTCTGCTTCTGCTGTTGAGGCTGCCTCACCACTTGCTTTCGAGCGGTACTCGGGAAAGTTTGTGCGGGTCCACTCTACGGCTTGGCTAACTGCGAGACATCCAACAGGCTGCGTTGACAGGAAGTCGGAGATCGCTTTGGTTAAGGCACTGTGACCAGTCTTGTCCAAGCTCTCGCTTCGTACTGTAATTGCTGTCACTTCCAGGGGCGTGGAAGGGTAGCTATGCGGTAGTCGAGCTTCGAGATCAATAGCTCCCTGAAAATGCAAGTTCGAACTTGGGTTAGTATGGATCAAAGCGCAGGACGCTGCAGACTCACCGATTCAGTCGCAATCTTGAAGCTTATATCTAGAGATGTCTGAACAGAACTCGTTTTACCGTCGATGAAGTCTTGAAACTCGCTCACGGCCGCCGGACTGAGCAGTTTGAATTCGTCGTTACCCGGATACATGCTCGTCAGCATCTCGATTTCAGCCAACTGAAGGCTCAAGTTCTCCTTTAGTTCTTCGTCTGTCATATTCGCGGAACGTGGGACTTGCTGTATCCGCATTTTGTCGCTAGAACATCACGAAGAGCCAGCGTAGCGATTGCTGAGCTTCGCCATCTTTGAGAATGCGAGCGAGCGGACACGTAGCGCCATCCTGTAGCAGTCGTACGAACCGCAATGCGCTCAACTTGGCGGGCATTTCAGTTCCGTTGGTACTGTTTTCATACACATTTTTTATATCTCAGTAAGGCCTTATATCTATATAAAATCTTGCCATCACACACACAAAAAAATGGTTTACGAATTATTTGGTTTACGGATTGTCGCCTTCGCGGAACACGGCATGGCGTATGCAACAGCCAAACAAACCTCCCTGGCTGTCATCGCACCTTATTTTGACCCCCGTGTATTATGACGATAATACTTCAACTACTCTAAACGTCCTTCCATTGACACAAACCAATGCCACTCAAAATTACATCTCCTGCCCTTGCCGCGCCACCCGTATATATCGGATATCGGCTTTAAATGCATAACAACTTTCCATTATACATATTTGTACAACAAAACAGTAACAATAGAAAACCTTTATTAGTGTTTCATATGACCATTGCATTCCCCGAACCTAGCTGTAACTTATGAACGTCGTAACATTTAGTATTTTCTTTTCCAGGTGTGCACAGGCTTCAGTTTGTAGAGCCGTACGCTTCTCTATGCGAGCGGCAACTCTCAGTGAGCCTTGTGCCATACGCAGACGAACTGTACGTTTTGTGCCTGTCGGCCGGCGTAAAGCAGACTCCAGCTCGACTGACCGTTGGAACCTTGACTGTAAGTTATATTTAGATCCATCTATTTCTTCCCTTGACGCAATAACTAAAATACCTTATAAACCTCTGAATTCTCGTTTTTGTTAATTTCTGATTCAAGTTCGCAAAAGCAAATTGTTGTGTGTATGTTTATACAGCCGGAAGTTGGTCTGCCTCAGTGGGCGTCTGGTGCCTCAGCTGTAGATGAGCAATTTAGCCAGTGCGGTACAACTGCCAGCCTGTGGTCTTTGACGTGCACCACACAGTAGCAATACACGACCGCACTCCGGTACGATGTTCATCCAGATCGAAACGGGCAGGGGCGGGGATTATTCAAGTTCGGTGTATGCATGCAATTTCAAGATACTTCTATCAGAACGTACAGGGTGTTCTCAAACGATCCTCGGGGATAAAAAATAAAATAAGGTAGTGTAAATAATTTTGTGAACAGAGTGCCATGGAACCTTTCACAATGGTGTTTTTAGGTAGTGCTTTGATTATATTAAAATTTAGTTAATGTTAGTTTCTGAAAGAAATGCAAGAAAAGAAATAAATTTTTCTGGTGCACGGGAGGAAGACACGGAGACCATCCGGCTGACGCTGCAACTCGCATATGGCACCAAGTGTTACAAAATTTCAGAGCTTTCTAGTGATTAACACCCTAAAGCAGGTTCAACGGTTACGAGAACGGGCGGTACGATATGTGAGTAGCAGCGCCAACCCAACGGTTTGCTTCTGTTTTCCTCCCGCGCATAGGAAAAAAATTATTTCTTCGTATATTTTCCCCCGCAAATATACTCACAAAATTCGAGCTTGGACAAAACCCAGGCAGAAATATCTGAAAAAGTGACGTGAACGAGCTAATAGACAAGGGAGACCTTTTCTCCTTGTCTATTTGTTCCTTCGAATAAAAGAATGTGATCTTTAGTTTGGCCGCTTGATTTCAATTGTGTTTACTCCAGACACCCGTTTTCATGACAGGGGCAAACATTAATGTAAACTCGTCACTCTTACAAGCAAGATTTTGAGTATGAAATTTCGGTACAATTAAACAATGAGGATGTAGTCATATTTCGGACATCTATATATTCTTCGTCAACTAATCGATGAAACGTTCGGAGCACGTTGAATATTTTCTCCCGAAATACCAAACACCGTAGCTCCGGAAATTTTTTCTTGCGCAGGATAACAAATGGATTCCCCTCGCCCATAGCAACTGCTTTGACCCGACAGCGGTTGTAGGATTCGTCTTCAACAGTAAACTGTACATGGTGATCGCCGACGCTGGACTCGAAAACGGCGCCGAGCTTCAATTTTTCGACAAGGACACCAGGAAGATCTACATTGACCATACGATCAACAGTGCTCGGCCGACTGCGGTGGCGTTTTGGCAAATGCAAGTTTTAATTTTCTTTGTCCTTGTTCTTCTCTAAGACTACCCCTTGTCCCACAGGAAATCTACGGGAGACTACAACCTCGCTTTGGCGAACTCCGGCAAGGAAACGTCGACCTCTATTTACAGCTGGAAAGGTATGTCAAACTCCGGGATAAGAAAACCGTTTGCAAATTTTCAATCTTCAATCAGCGTCGCCACTACACTGCATCATGTCGGTACGAATTCAGTCTTGTCATGAAGGTTGGGTGGTCGCGACAAAACTTTCAGCATGGGTGCCTACTGATCGCGTAGCATTCAATACCTCTAGTGCTTCCATGACGTCAGAATTCAGTGTCCTGGTGGCGCTGTAACTGGCAGTGATCGCACTCGATTATAGAGCGAAAGGCGTTCCTAATATCGTTCGGTGCAGGCTTGTTCCCATAAAAAGCTTGTTGTCCCGGTGCTGGGATGTTAGCGTGACAAATCTACAGTGCCCCTCAAACTTAACGCCGCCACTTGGTTTCGAAAATATTGATATATCGCATGCTACGCAAATATAAATTGATCACTGCAGCCGCTGGAATACCTACCCCTGGTTTGGTTTTCATCAGGGACGCAAACCTTCACCATCTAGTTCGACCACTAGGTTCAGTAATAGCTCTAAAAGTGAAGAAACTGGACCATCTCGTGGCGGCGTGAAGTTTGGGGCGCACCGTACCTTCCAGCGGTGACAGTGGATGGTTGTCAAGATTTAATACTTTCTCAATAAAGAAAGCTAACAAATGAAAATCGTCATAAGAATGAGTACCCTTTCTTGAGCACGACCTATTTGTAAGGCCTTTTGCTCCGCATCCATGTGTCAGAAGATTTGAAAGCTTCGATTGAAAGGGTATTCGAAGCAAATCTGTCAAACGTGTCTTTTGTTTTCGTACCACAGCCACGTACTTCGACAAGTACGCATCGGTGGAGAGCCGAGTGGTGCGTGACCTGGAGCCTTTCTCCATCCACAACTCCGATTTTCTGGTCGTCGTGAACCAGCGCTTCTCCAAGGACACTGCCAAAGTCAGCACGGTCGTCTTCAAGTACGATATCTCCCGCAACGCTTGGAAGACTCTGCAAGAGATCCCCACGTACGCCGCCACCGACGCAGAGTTTTTCACCCTGGGACGCTACGCCTCGACCAAGGAGTTTTTCCTGGCTGTCGCCAACCAGTACGAGCAACGTAAGGGACGTGTTGCCTACCTCTTTAGTCGTGGAGTCGATTACCATTTCAACTTGCGATGGGCCGCAGAGCCATCGAAGCCAATACAATGCCGTGCGAGTGTCACGTGACCTTTTTAAGGGCGCCGCGACGTTCAGGGCGCATTGTCACCCGGTACGTTCACAACGCTGCATTATCGGGGATGGCTCGAAGTATTCACTGCGGTCCATGGTAAGGCCAAGCGGAGTGCAGTAAATGCGCCGCATATATGGGCGTACGTAACGTGAGTGACTTGTAGGAATACGGAGCGCAAGTTCGTCTGCCTTTTGCACGGCGGTTACGATAACGTCACCACGCCGCGCTGTTATTGGCTGATGAGAAAAATAGTGGGTAGACCTTTCCTCTCAATCGAAGCCAATGAGAGCTCGGCAACGTTCTGACATCACTGCAACTCGCGCGCAAGAAGCAGACGACTTGCTCTCAAGGGGTAGGTTTCATTATACTAGTTTTGTTTCTGTTCCTTTGTCTCTTTTAAGCCGGGAGCTCAAACAGCTGTCTTGTCTCTCACATTAGTTAAGCTCGACACTATCCTAGTTTTGTGCTGTACCCTTAACTAAAAAAACCGCAAAGCCCTTGAGATATTGGAGCGTGTTCATATTTTTATTCTAAAAATTCTCACTCGCAGCAACCGAAAACTTCCCCTTTATATAAAATGAGACTTTGGCATCGTTCGACTTCATGCAAACGTGTATTGTGTGAATATCGGTAATTCTTCGAGTCGTTGCCCTTTTTCAGTTCGTGTCTAAGTTTAGTGTTCCATGGTCGCGAGTTGGTATACCCCATTTAGTTCAGATTATATATAACATGGCGCTTTCTCCGTGTTCCGAACTATGTTCCAGATGACGACCATCGGAACTACGCAGTGGACTCAATCGTTTACAAGTACGTCGACGGAAAGTTTGTGCCGTTTCAATGCCTGCACACGACCGGAGCAACGAAAATTGCGGCGTACGATGGATCTGATGGTGAATTCCTGTTGGCCGTTGCCAGCCTCTACGAACCTGTGCACCTATATCAGTACAACGGCTGGCACTTCGTGCTGGCTCAAGTTCAGTACACACAGTCTACTATGGGGCCTGGTGTTCGTGATTTGAGCTTCTACTTCACTCAGCCCGCCAAGCACATTCTGCTCGGTGAGTCACGTCAAGTCGAGCACCACCAGTTCATTATTTTCTGAAATGTTCGCAAGCGTTCGACCCCAGCACCGTTCCTTTCTGAACTAAACTTCACTTGTAACCTCCGAGGCATCCCGGGCAGTGCTGTTTAAATACACGCCATATTCAAGTCTCATTAATTAATATTTTTCGAAATGTCATGTATTCCTCGTTTCGGCTAGAAAACCCCCGGCTTCTCGAAAATCATTCGGACAATTATCAAAGGTGGTCACGCTGTTTCTTTTGAAGCGTGGCTTCTTCCAGGCATGAATGTAGGCTGCAATAAATTGCGAGCTAAATTGCAATTGCCGAGGAAATCATGCTGTTATGAATTCCGATTTTTTTTTTTTCATGTTGAAAAACTGCGCGACTGGGACAAGACACTTTGGTCGTTGTCCCAGTCGCGCTGTTTTTCAACATGACCTCTTACCAATTTGACCAGTTCTCTATCCTAATGAATTCCAATTTTCTCGTCAGCTGTATCTAACCCGGCCACAGACGGACCGGGTGTTTACAAGATAAGCTTCTACCACGACAACCAGATTCAGCGCTGGTACGACGAAAGCCTCAAGTGGTGCCAGGAGTCGTCCGCACTCGCCACCGAAAACTCGGCTGCCCAGTTAGCCTCGCAACTAGACAACGTCTTCTATACTGACCAGACGGAGCCTATTCGTATCCCTGGCGAAGTGGTCTTCCAAGATCTTCATGTCGCCGAGTCCTTGAGGGCACCACAGGCAAGTACCGAATACTCTATATAAAAATACAGACTGTTAAAATGTGTCATGATAAATGTGTTTCATTATAGTTTGAGGAGCTGGCCACTGGTGAGAGCTACAGCATCAAGAACCTGCAAGAACTTGAAAAACTGCAGTTGGAACTGAACGCGATGATGGACATTGTTCGGAAGACGTTAGATGACTTAGAGGACGCGCTCAAGCTCACTGGGGACCAAGTCATAGCTGGTGCGTAATTGTATTTGACTTGTGGGTAGTATGACTATTGTCATGCGGATGACTAATGTCGACGTCAAGTTGCCAGTTACAAAACATGCTATATTCTGTTCCCCCTTAAGCAGACAGTCCGGTGGAAGCTACTCGCTCTGCGGACCAATCAAGCGCCTGCTTCGTTACCTGACCCCGCTCTTTCGAGGATTAAGCGGGAGCGCTATCACGTGCGAAAGGCCGACACGTGACTGGTCCAGCGGGCACGCAGTTTCCTTCGCTCGCTCAGCTTATGGGGGAACGGAGTATAATTTCCACCCGTTAATTGTAGAATGAAAAGTTCAACAGAGAGGAAGTGGTACAACTCAAACAAAATGAAAGCAAATGTTTTGAATAGGGCTTAGAATGAGCGTGTTTGAATTCCGCATTCTTTTTCGAATTAAGGTCCTTAAGTGGTACACATTTCGCCGCATGGTTTCTTGTGTCCTGCAGGAGACCACCACTTTGAATCTCTCGGTCTGGAGTGCCCGTCTTCTGGCTGCCAGGTTTCCCACCTGCAGACGACCTACCTGAACAAGGAAGACGTTGGAAACCTTGCACAGCGTCTGTTCTTCACAAACATGCCGCAGACGGTGGATACTCCTATGTCGTTCGATCACCTGAACGTGGAAAATTTATCGGTGGATGGCGCAGTAAACGGCATGAATGTCTCCAAGCTGGTCACAGTCACAGGAAACCACGTCCTCGCCGGCAATATTCGCTTCGCAAGACCTATCCACACTAAGGACTTGAGCGTTTCTGGTACATTGGGAGGCTTGGTATTTTCACAGAAGCACCTGATGCTCGCAGAAGGTGACCAACTGCAGACAGGAGAACTCACAATGACCGACGCAACTACTCACTACCTTCAGGTGAGAAGCATATTGTAATTTAGAGAAGCTTTTAGGAGCCCAGAAATCTAATCGCTAGTTTTACCTGACCAAACTTGTTTCAATTCTAGGTTGACGGGACTTGGAACGGTCTTAACCTCGCAAAGTTCTACCGAGACTCACTAACCATAGATGGAAACCACGTCATAACAGGTCGCAAAACCTTTCAGAAGGTTTTTATGGCTGGCACACTTGGCCTATTGAAAGGAGGGCGCTTCAACAACGTGAATCTACACGACCTTTGGAACAACGTCTTGTGGACCCACAAGAGTCAGATCGTCACTGGTCAGTAAGATGAACTTGCGCACGCGAGCTCGGTCAATATTGTTCTTCTGGTTCTGAAGTCATAAAATCGTTCTCGATTTCAGCCCCTCACAATTACACCAACGTGCACTTCAAGGATATCAGCGTGCGGGGTACAATTAACGGTGTTCGCATACCCGGTCCAGAGGTCGTCCTTGTCAACCAGAATGTAACCGTTTCTGCCGACAAAGTGTTTTTGGACGACTGCTCTGCAAGCGAGCTCCACGTCAACGTAGCCTTCAACGGTCTTCAGCGTATTCACGTCCCAGAATCTGGCAAGGACATAATTTGATTTACTTTTATGCAGTCAGTCTTGTGCCAACTAGGCATTTATTATTTGCGTCGATCTTCATATGCTCTGTCTCATCTAGAATGGAAAGGACAGTTGGACATCCTGGTGAAAACGCCCGCACAATGGATCACGGGTAAGTTGCCATCATAACTCTGCCGTCTTGTGTATAAGTGCGTCTGTATGACATCAAATTTCAGGAAGAAAGACGTTCAAGAAAATTCACCTCAATGGCCAGAGCGATGTCGGCAGATTCATCGATGGCGTCAACCTTTCGGAGCTGGGAAACTACATGCGTAGGAGACGCACGCCCGTCATGAATGGTAAGATTTTGAACCAAAGGTCCTTCCGATATTTAAATTTGTTCTCCCAATTCTATTACGACAGGAACATGGACATTTACTGGAACTGTGGTCTTCGAAGACAGGGTAGTCGTCACGGGGCTTGTCAATGGCCACAAACTTGACGATTTGTATCGCCACGCTCTTCGTTTGGACGCTCCAGTATTTCCAAACTATAAACGGGTTTATTTCGCCAGCAACATTCAGGTAGGTTCTTTATTACCGTAAACTGGACACTTGTACACTACCTGAACTAACAGGTGAAAGTAATATCATGCTCTTTTTACAGGCGAGAAACTTGTCCTGTCGAGACATTAACGGTTTTGACGTTCCATCGTCTTTTGTACTCCGACGGGGCCCGAAAGTGGTAAGCGGTGAAAAGGGATTCAGTAGGCTTGTACTGAATGGCCCCGTCACGGTTAAACGACTGGTAAATGGTGTTGATCTCGGAGTACTTCAAGATTCTCTTCTGACACAAGGCACTCAGGTTGGTACGATTACGGACAAAATTCAAGTTTTAATACTTTTGTCCAGATGCATTTTCTATCCATTTCTTGAATGAATAACCAATAACTAAGTTCAGTGATTTTCTTACGTAGACGGTAGTAAGGGTTCAGTTTTATACAATTGACTGGAGGACGTCAAAGAAATTAGACCTGCAAGTGATACGCAGACGAGCTGATGCTGCTGGAGATTATAAAATAAGAAGGGATAAAACTCCTTTCAACAGGCTCTTCTATAATCAGTCTTTTATTTTGGAGGTCTCCGCTCTTTCTGGTGAGGAATAGACGCCGTACTTGTCGTTTAAATAGTACTGCGTTCTGTGCATGTATTGGGTGAATCTCTGTCTCTAATGTTCTAGGTTGTCAAAGCTCCCAAGGTTTTCAAGCGTAACCTTCGTGTCAAGAATCTGGTCGTTGATGGATCGATCAACGGTGTGAAAGTAGACGAGTTCTGTCGCTTGGACGAAAACTGCATCTTCACAGCCCCCAAAGAATTCGAGACCTTAAACGTAGCTGGTGGCGCAGCCCTGGGCAACCTCGTTGTTCGAAACACTATTAATGGCGTGAAAGCAATTGAATTGGTGGAAGACACGATGCTTTACTCCGGTAAGTCGACCTATTACCCAAGTGCTTCAGACGTTGGATGCAGTGAGTTGTGCTTGAACCTCAGCAGTAGGTTCACTACCCGCAACACAACTTTCAAGAGGTGTTATGAAATCACTCTCGCGACCGCCCTTCAATCTTTAGATTAGATCGAACTGTGCACTGGTCGGTTGCTACACTTTCTATGGCGCTAGCTAACGATAGAATAGAACGTGAAAATCTAACAGGAGCAAGGTTAATTTATCACTTTAATCCAATCAACGTGCGCCTTGTCAAAGCGATTCAAGCACAGCCGCTTGATATGACTTCCTGGGGTTCAAGCTGCTTAGACTGTACACGCAAAAGGTTCGCAAGAAGTGCCTTAAATGTGAGCTTAGGTGGCAGTGACCAATCTGACAAGTGTCTGATTCTCGTGTCTGCCCTCAGCTCGTCAAGTTGTCACCGGAACGAAGTCATTCCCTGGAAATTTGACACTCCCCCCAAACTCTAACGTCCAAACCAGCAACTTTTCGGGAGTAAAACTAGCCGAGCTCTACTCCGAAGCCGTTCTTCTCACTGGTGACCAGGTCATTGCTGGCAAAACCGTCTTCGAAGCTCCGGTTACGGCGCCCAACTTCGAATTTTATTCCACTCTTGACGGCGTGTCTCAAGACGACATCGAAAACTGGATGCTGCAAGGAGTTGACCAAGTGGTCAACGGCGATCTCGTCTTCGAAAATAATCTGGAGACTCTAGCGCCTCTGGACGTACACGACACCATAAACGACGTGAATCTCAAGGACCTCGCCGGCAGGATAGCCTACAAGAACGAATCGACTACCTTCACGGGACCCGTGCGATTTGCCTTCTTGGGTTCAATGGCCGACGTCCACGTAACTGGAACAGTTCAGGGCATCGACGTTTCTGAAGAGCTTGTCGACGGCACAAAGGATGTGACTATCACCGGACGAAAGTTCCTGAAGAATGGTTTCCTTGTTGACGGCGATATTTGGGTGAACGGACTTCTTGATTCGGTGAAGGTGGATGATCTCTGCAAGAGGGCGGTTCGGGTGAACACGAAGCAGGTGATTACTGCTCCGACAGTGGTCATCGGTAACATCGTGTTCCACAGGGGAGTGGCAGTTGGGGGACTGCTGGACGGGATTGACGTTAAGGAAATGGACACCGCCTGCTTGAAGACCGACGGCGATGCTATAGTGAGAGGAACGAAAAAGTTCAGAAATCTCATCGTCGAAGGGGTAAGCAATTTTATCAGTTTGTTAAGCATATTTCCGTGATGCAAATCATTCTCTCTGCTTACAGCCAGTCACGATCCGCGGTTTGCTCAATGGAATGAACCTAAACTTCCTGAAACACAACTACATGAGCGTCTCTAAGGATCAGGTTGTCGAAGCAAGGTTGAGGATGCCAAAGATGCAAGTTCGCGGTTAGTGAAATATTTTGAACTGATATTTATTGTAAGAGATTAATACATAAAATCTATCATCCTTGTTCCTTTTTTAAAATTTTAGGTAATTTGCACTGCGATGGTATCGAGACCCGTGACGTGAACGGAATGAATTTGCCTTTATTCCTCAACTCTACACTACGGACCGGGGGTGACCAAGTGCTGACCTCGACTTGCATATTCGGGAATGCTACATTTAACGGTAGGTCGAAGGAACTCGCGGTAAATGTGTGTTGCGCTTATCGCGTGCCGTTCATAATCGGAGACAACTACAGTCGCTGGCAGTGAAAACGGCAGAGCGGCTCTTTAGGATTCCCGGCCTCCAGCACGTGCTCGTAGCCTTCCGCGTGCATCGGTTGCGTATGCATGCTCTCGGCTCACGAGAAGCCGAAGCGTTATCAAAGTAGAAAGCTCACGCTAGAGGCGGGACCACTGGAAAAACCTCTCCGCCGTTTTCCTCCTGTAGGTGGTCATAGTGTGCCCAGATGCTTACATTTTTGTGGAATCTTGTAGACGTCACCGTGCGTGGTACAGTCAACGGAGTTCGAATGCCCGAGGACGTGTTCACGAAGATTCGACCCAACGTGATGACTGGACCCCTGGAAATTCTCGGCAATGTTACCGTTAGGAATACCCTCACTATGCCGGAGTCTGCACGACTTCAAGGAGTGGACATTGACGCGTGGGCGAACGACGCCGTTTTTAACGACGGCAGAGAATACGTTGTCAAGGGACGAAAAGTATTCAACAGTCTCAACGTAGCCGACAGCCTGTGAGACCATTTGGCACAATACAATCTACCCAGTAGTGTCGTAACTTCAATGTGAAGGAATAACGTTTCGTTTTCCTCGATTTGTTTCTAGGATTAATGGAACGTTAGATGGAGTTCATGTATCTCCCTCCGAATTGTTGCTGGCAACAGGAGAGCAGGTCATCACTGGAAAGAAAATATTTCGCAACGGCATGACCGTCGCCGATCTTAAAGTTGCTGGTTTCCTGAATGGTGTCAACCTGCACGAGTTCATCCGGATGGCTGTAAGTACAAGACTTGCCTTCCTCAATCGCGGGCTGATCAGTTTTTCTTCTTTTTCGTCTTCAGATGCTCAAGAGCAGGAATAACACCGTGACAGCCCCGAAACGTTTCGTCGGGGGTTTTAGAGTGGCCACGTTACACACCCTTGGGAGAGTTGGCAACGTTAGTCTTCAAGAGCTGAAACTAAAGACAAGATCCATGGAGAATATCGAGGCGCTTGTAATGCATCTTCAGCAGCAAAAGAATCGCATTGATGAACTGAATCTTGCATTCAAACGTAAGAACAAGATGGCCTAATAAAAGTTCGGTGTAAAACGGTTATGTGAATTCTTACAAAAGCATGTTTTCTCCTCACCACAGAGCAAGCGGTTTTCGTCTCGTACTATGACAAGATCTTCAGCTTCACCGTCGGGCAATCCCGTTCTGCCTGCTATGCCCAACTGCAAGACTTAACAGAACTGTTCCTGCTCACATTGTCTGGAGGAACTTCAACATCTTGTGGCGTTCTAAAAACATTCCGGGTGGATCATGGCAGCTACAACCTCTTTCCAGCCCAGCATGTGAGTGCTTCCGAAGTGCGCTCCACCTATACACGACGCGACTTTACCATTCCTATTTTTGCTTACTTCCCTTGTGTATGGCTTAACCTGTACTTATGCTTTGGAGGTTTTCTGATAGTCAATAATATCGTGATAAGAAACATTTCTTTTCTCGCAGGATATCGCAGTTGCCCACGGTTCTTCAATTTACCACCTCGTGCTTCCAGGCGCAGATTTCATTATCGTCGCTAACAAAAACTCTGCAATGGCGTGTTCGAAGCAGAGGCCACAAATGGGGGTCGTAGGTAAGTGTACGGAATTAGTTTCCAAAACGGTGAGAGTAGAATTTCTGCCTTCAATTATATTCTTTTAACTTTTACAGGAGACGAACTTGGACACAGTTCGATTGAGATCTTGATCTGGAACTCCAGTATAAAAGCACTTCGGCTGTACCAAGTTGTCAAGATCGTGGATCTACAAAGCCTGTCCTTGTTCCATCACAAATCCCAAGGTTGTTTGGCAGTCGTTGCGAGCGGATTTTTGAAGATTATCTGCCTTCAGGATCCATCTAAGGGATTTAGGTTGCTTCAGAACTTGCCAGTTCATTACAGCACAGGGGTAAGTGAAACATGCTCTGAACAGGGTGTTGCAAACGCACAATGCACGCTGCCCGAATGATAATTTTTTTGTCATTTTCCGGTATGGTTTCTCCGAACATACAGAAATCTAAGTTTTGCAGTAATTCTGTTAGAAGTTATGCTTAATAGGTACTTTTGTACACCGAATTCGTCTTCCACTGTAATATCTTCAGGATGTCCTTGATTTCAATACAGTAAGGTTGATACCTTGCGACACGGATTTGCAGAATTCTCAATTACTTGTATTGTCGAACGTAATTATGACCGTTGAGAGCACTCGTCCATGGTTTGTGCGAATATCACGGCGATGGGCGTGGGGTTTACGGAAATATATGGCCTGGTTGGTTGGGCAAACTTTATTTAGATGGGGTGTGTGCGAAAGCAGTGTCCCGAAATTTTCCTTCAGGTTTCTGCAAGTCACTGTCCACTGGACGACTCTCTCCTCTTGGCCGTATCCGCATCTCAACCGGGCCAGTTCGATAGGGTCTTCCTTTACCAGTGGTCTCAGGGTCTCAAGAAACTCGCAAGCGTCCCGGCAGTTTCAGTTAGTTCTCTCGCTGTGGTGGGCCACGGCGGACACTGCTTCGTCGTCGTCGGTCAACGCAGGGTTGGCGGTGCCGATGCTGCGACCTCGGTTTACAGGTAGGCGGTAGCTGCGAGTGCTATGCGAAACGAATGTTCGTCTGCTTCTTTTGTAGGGGTTGCGACGTCAGTAGGCCGAGCTCCCATTAGCTCCGATTGGAGGATAGTGGGTGGAACTCAAAGCAAGCTGCCTTGAGGTCTACCCACTATCGTTCAGTCGGAGCCAAAGCTCTGCGCTCTGACGTCACCACAACCCCTGCAAAAGAAGCAGAAGAACTCTCGTTCCGCATACATTTTGGGCACGACAAATTCTCAAGCTTTGCCGCTCACAGGGCTCATGACGCTCTCCGAATTCATGTGTTAAATACAGGAATACAGCGTGACCTGACTTTAGCTTGTCATTGGCTAGTGTAACGAGAGTAGGCCAGCGTATTGTTCTCGATAATCTCTTGAATCAAATGCGCACATTATGCTACAAACTGGCACAGAGTATCTGCCGCCCGGTGCGAGACAGCTGCCACGGGCGCCCTTTCGACAAGTCTCCACCCCCCAATTTCTGCTAGTCAAGAATATTAAAAAGGCGTGAATTTTTCACTAATTGTCCGTAAACTACAAACTTCTCCCAGAACTTTAACCCCAGTAAATGTTCCTACGAACGTAGTTTCTCTGCGTTCGTAGGTTTTTGTATGTTCTTCATCTAACAGTTGTTTCGAGTCGCTAGTAAAAATAAAAATAGTGCAGTCAACGTGACGTACCCCCTATTTGAGCTCAACGCTACGCTGAATATTTCCACTGGTCTTGCCTTGTGAAATTTACGTCGCACGCTGCAGGTACTTACCAGGTCATCCGCAAGCATTTCTGGAAGTCCAGAGGTTGCTTCCGGGAGACGTGCGGTCCATCACGTGGCTACCGTCTCCAGACAACCACACGCTCTTGCTTTTCATCCACGTTGGCAATAACCAGGGGCTGAAAATCTACTCGTTCAAGGGAGCCTCGGGCTTCGTGGAACAGGACTCGCTCCACGTTGACGGTACTCCTAAAATTTCACTTACCCAAGGTTTATCACGTCATGTTCAAGGAGACAATGCATTTGTGCGAGCAACTTTGTAGTCTCTGTTCCAGACCTATGGGGTATTCGACATAGTAGCCCTGGGGCAAAGGGAAGGGACGGACAAAACTAACTTGTTTGATTGTCAGCTACACTTTCAATCTTGTCCAGGGTTGAATGTCTTGATACGCTCACTCTAGTTCCAATTCTTTCCTTTGAACGCACGTCTTAGTGTCACTTATGTTTCCCATAACTCAAATACAGTCAGACACGCATGGAACAATCGAACAGTGACATATGTGTCGTATTCACGTTGCAGCCGAACCAATCTGTAGATTTTACTAAGGAAGTTGTAGTTTACAATGTTTTTACGAATGTGAGTTACATTCCATGTGCAGATATTCGGTCTATTTCTAATGCACTGTAATCGGGTTTCGGTCTCTTAGTCAGTATTTTACTGAATTCACAGGTAACCGGGAACTAAGTCTGGGTTGTGAAGCCCATTAAATCAGATCTTCTTGCAGGTTCCTTCAACGAGGTTCGGACCTTCAGAAGGTCTGACGGTCGCCATTTCGTCATCATGTCCAGTAGCCACGAAGAACCTTCGGCGGTCGTGCTGCTCTCAAAACTCAAGGGAAAACCTTACGACCGCCCTTAATGAAACCGTTTCTACTTATATACACTCGTTTAATTGTTGAAGTACCTTGTTTATTTGTATATACAATAAAACCTCACATTTACACAACTCGCTCTGAATCCGTTTATTCATCTCACGTACTACGTACACGTGCTGTGCCAGTGATTCGTACCCTGATAGTGCATGCTTAACTCGAAACTCTGAAACCCGGTGTGACTGACTTGATGTCAGCGAGCCTTGAATACTTGGTATTTGAAATATAACTTAAAGCTTCCTAACCCATTACCTCAGCCAGGACCCTCCCTATTGGATCTTAATCAAATGACGTTGACTCCACTATTTTTAGTCGGATGTAGCCGCAGGGCCAAGGGCAGGGTAGTATGTGTCTGTCTGTATACAAATTATTCTTTATTAAAATAGTTACTCAAATCTAAAAAGGACATTTTTTTGTAGGAAATATAGGTTGCTGAAAAACTGTGTACTTTACTTTCTTGGAAGCAGTAAAATGATTTTATGGAAATGTACCCCCCCCCCCCCCCGTGTGTGTGTTCTTACTGAAACATAAAAATCTGTTATCGCCATTATATCATTAATAAGTGAAGTCATCATTCCAGCTTTCAGCATGAGTCTGGTAAGCGGGAGGTCATTTTTTTTTGTTTAACTTCGAAACATGACTGAGCGTATCCCTTTCATGACTCTTTACTTTGTCATTTTCTTGGGCCGACGTTTACTCGACAACCGTTTGTCTGCACTGTGCGACTGCATGATTTGTGCCCTGCTCTGCATCGCCTGACGTAGCTGCCTCCGGTATATTTCAAAGGCACCCGACGGTACATGTCTAAAGCCGACTTTGTGCAGCTCTGATAAGCTTCTAAATGTCTGCAAGTTCAGGACATCCACAACAATTAGTAGCTACCAAACTGTCCCCTATCAACATCATGGCATGGGAGCTGTTCTTTAGTAAGAATTCGCTGCTCCCTGAACCTTACAGCAACGTTTAAATTTGACGGGACAACGCATCGGATGCTCCTGATGCGGAAGGAACTTGCTGCTGAATGGTAGAACCTGTATAAGCGTATCGGTTGCCTTGCGAAATCGGACGCTCTTGTTTGGAATTTGTGAGTGAATAACGGTGAAAGTAATAACATTGCGAACATCTCCATTGGAAGACGCCAAGCAGGTAACTGAAATCGACGTCTCGGGTTCACTTGCTGACCCCATAGCCACGGCAGCTAAAGTGACAATCTCCCTCTAAGAAGCTTGCGCACCCAGTGACTTGCCTTTGCTGCTTAGAGCCTTAACATCTTCTCTTTATACTAGCGTAAACAGGGTTTCGAATCGGCTTAACTCTTGTGGAAGCCAGGTTGTGAAATATATTTCAGCTAGGACAAGGCACTCTGGAGTGTTGTGATGAAGTTAGATCTGGCTGAGACAGTAGGTCCGCCGATCTGTGGCATACTCTCATATTCTCGCACAATTTGTCCACGATATCTTTGGAGCACGATCAAACGTTCAGGCATTCTGGTTGTAGTCCTCCACGGGATTGGTGTGGGCTTTCACATAGTAGACACTTCCGTTCCTGCCTTTTCGACGCAGGAATCGCTCGTGCAGGGCTTTCCGCTTCACCAGCATGATTGCGGACAAAAGAATGGCGACGAGGCTTAGCGTTCCGACAATGAACACTGCTGTGCGCAGCGCACTCGTCTGTGAGTCTCTTTCGCTGACATTGGAGCAGACGAAGAGCTCCTCGGGAGCTTCCAGTAACGGCTCCCTCTCGTGGTTGGCTGGGCTCCCGCACCTGAAATAGGCTTTAGGTTAGTATACGGCGAGCAGGGGGCCCTAATCGTCGCGGCGGGACCAAGAGGGACCAAGGGACATCGCCACCTGCCAAGATTGGTCAGCTTTGCGGAGTTGGCCAGTCGCAGAGGGTGGCGATGACCCGGTCCCTTGGTGCCGCTTGGTTCCCCGCCATGTAGACTAGGGCCTCAAGGGCATCCAAAATACGCCTTTAGCGGACCGGAACGCAAGGAGGGGCACGTCATTCAAAGGGCAACGTAGAGGACGCGAGGTCAACGCGTTATGAGGGTACAGCTAAGCGCGCGCCGTTACCAGGTTGAGTGAAACACACAAGTACGTGGTCTCATTTGGCGGGTACACAAACAAAGCTCGTACGCAAGGAACAGGTGAGTTTAAATGCCGTATAGGACATATGGTTATCGCTATAATTACTGAAAGCTCGAAAAATGCAAGATGGAGCTTATGTTCCCGATATTTGCTTCGTGATTCGCCGTCCGGCGTTCTTTTCAGCTAATTCTGCAGTCTCACTGGATGTGATGCAATAATATACGCCTGGGTCTCACCACGCCCTGCGTTTCTTTAACTCCCTGTTACTCTAGTGGAAAATGTGAGTATGGCGGATGGACGTCTTGCTTCGGCAGCTGATTCGATTCGGTTAACAATGGACTACGTCACCGCGCGGAATGCAAGCGAAGAGATCAGTGCAAGTAATACGTAACCCATCACTTCTTTCCATCTATTCCTTCTACGCGACCCAGTTTCTCTAAGAGGAAGAGCTGCGGAAAAGTGTGACGTGGTTGTACGCTTAAAGATTAGAATCCAGCATAATTATCTGAATGCTTGGGTTAAAGAACCATTTAAGATTTGAAGAACACTTTTTGAGATATGCTCGCAGCATATGAAAGTAAGGTGGTTGTAACTTTAGCAGTTATTTTTTTTAATAGCTAATTTGTTTTAAGAGTGGCTCAACACATCAACAGTCATGGTTGAACTTGTAATCCAATCATCCCAATCGTTGGGAAAACATGTTTGGTCTTGCTAAGCTATAAAGTTTTTTTTTTTTTTTTTTTTAAATTTCTTTCCTCACCGCTTTTTTAAACCCGAATTCTCTACTTGCAACACGAAGAAACTTTATCTGCGTTGCTAGTAGACACTCCCAGTGTTGGCGCCACTTCCTCTGAAAAAGTGATTTCAGCGGCAGGCACATGTTCACTGTTTGGAAAGTAGAACTTGTTGTTAACGGCTTATAAAGAAAGTTCAATGGTGTCCAATAAATGTTCTGGAAGTTCACTCCAGCACTCGCTCAGTAGCGCGAAACAAACGCGCGACATGTTTCTTTTGAGACGAGTGCTCGACCTGCAAGGCAACCTACCAGTGACGTCACAACACTGCTACCCGCGGGAAATTTGAATGTTTGTTTTGACTTCAGCTTCATGTGCCGTTTTCTCTATAACTAGTTTGATTTAGGGGACGGTAGAGAGCGTGCGAAGAAGAGTAAGCCCGGATAAAAAAAAGTTGCTTCTTTATGTGGATTAAGTACCTGGATACAAAAGGTATGTAACACAAAAACCTTCCCCCAAAAGAATAAAATATTTTAGTGCGATACTTCCGTCCGGAGACTCATATGAGCAATTCTAAGACATGCTCTGGTTCGTGCTCGACGCCTAGAAATTGAAGCATGCGTCGGAATTGCTCCCCGTTCAACACAAGTATCGCGACGTAAATATTGTGCTAAATTAGTTTTCGGGGAACGTTCATTCTTTGACGCATGTGTCCTATCTATCCGAGAATTTAAAACGTGTTTTTGTTTAGTCAGTGCCTCTTTAAGGTGGATACCCAGATGATCTATCAAGGCTTAGGACACAATAAATCTGCCAATCAAGATAAGAACTACGACAAGAATATCTCACCAAAGCCGAACGGTTAGCTCCGGCTGTAGAGGAATCTTTCTTAGCCAGGCGTTGGTGCAGTCGCATGCCAGAGGGTTTCCCTGGAGGTCCAATATGGTAAGCTCCTTCCAAGGTGCCACGTCACTGTCGATCCATTTGATGTTGTTATTCTGAAGATAGAGTTCCTTCAAGGTCCAGTTAGCAGGGGGCTCCATCCGCCAGAAAATGCCGAAGATGTCGAGGTCCAGTTCCGTCAGCTTGGGATTGTTGTCCAAATAGAGGACTCTCATCTTCTTCTGGCACTCGAAGGTATCCCCTTCCACGGAGACAAGTTCCTTCATGTTCTCGATATAGAGTTCCTCAATGTTGGACATTTTGTAGAAAGACCTGTAGTTGAGGACTCTGATCGGGTTGTCCGAGATGACGAGGACCTTGAGCGTTTCCGCGCTCCGTAAAGCGCTGGACGGAACTTCGTCGAAGGAGTTCTCAGAGAGGTCCAGGTACACCAGGCTTGGCATGGTGTGGAAGACTCCGTCTGGCAAAGAATGTGCGTCCACGCTGCTCATCTCGAGAACCTCAAGCTTTGCAAGGTTCGTGAAGAAGGATCTCTCGATGTACCTCAGCGGATTGTGGCTGATCCGGAGCTGCTCCAGGGCGACTAGAGGATTGAAGAGTTCCGCTGGCAAGGTTCTGACAGAGAGGAAATGCAACAAAGGATGCAACTTGAATTAGACGGGCAGGCGTTAAAGCACGTTTAAACGGTTGCCACAAAAAGCGGTAACCAGGAATGAATGCATTATAAACCGGGAAATCACTGGCAAAAACAAGAACTCTCACGCTTCGGAGCAAAGCTTTGTCACCTGGTTATTCGAAACCTACTCACGCCCTGTGTTGCTCTGGATGCGTTTTCACGTCATTCGACCCGTAGTAGTTTGTTCAGAGCTCGGGTTCAATCGTGTGTCCCGCAGTTGGAAGCAGCTACGACAGCAATACACCGTTACGTTTTTGGTTTATGCGCGATGAAATATGCCTCTGCCAAGCGTTCGTGTTCTCGACGATCCGAAAAATCCCCACGTGACATTCTTCATCGGTGCCAAAAATTGCTGAAATCTACATTAGAAGTTGTTTTAGCTTTACTTATTACTAAAATTAATCGTCGCTCGCCCAGCGGGTCGAGTGGACGTGCTGGGATCGATATGATCGCGCATGAAGGGAATCTGTGTTGTAAAGTTCCAGGTCTCACGTAAAAGAAGTTCACACCAAACGAGGCCCCTAATGTTCTGTAAAGCGCGGCGGACAGGTAAGCTGACATTCCTTAAAAACTAAGGTTGAATGCTAACCGGGACACGCCTATGCAGTAGTCTGGTCGGTTTCAATGCGAAATGCTTCTCCCAGGAACGGCACCGTGGCGTACTGCCTCGATCGCACGCTTCCAATACTTTGCTCTTGCTTCTATATGTGACGAGAGTCGAAAGCCGCGATCACGTTGCTGTATACACCATACTAAAGACAGTCTGCCAACGCTGTATTTCTTCCTTGCAGGACGACCCTGGCGCACTGGTCATACAAAAACTGTCTTTACGCGTGTTGCAAATACATATATGTGTGGCGCAAACACGCTTCGAATATGCTTGGGGCCTGCCCGCGGATAGTTTTGTCATCATGGCTACAGCGAACAGTGGGTCGTTTTTAACACGTATAAGCAGTGTGTCTGCAACTATGGGCCGCGTCAGCACTAATCCCATGCCCGCAGTATGCCATGAGACTGCAGTATGCATAAACAAAAATTATATATATGGGCGGTTTCATTTGGATTCAGGCGAGTGGCAGTCGTATTTTTTATTTTGCTTCAAATTTTTATATTTCGTGGTGCATGTTCCAAGAATAACAATCCTTTTTATTTTAATATCCTGACATGTTTAGTTTCTGAGAAAAAAAAAAAAACCCAAAAACCTCAAAGAAGCGGGAAAGAACGACGAGGTTTTGACGATTGTCGTTTGTGGCGTTTTTGAATCACTCTCAATCTCATAGCATTCAAAAGAGAGCATCTATATTTTTTTTTGTGTGATATATATGCGAGTAGGAAAGACGACATTATAACTACTGTTTATTATTCGTCGCTCCAATTTTTGTAAAAATCCCCAAACATGCCTCCGCGAAGAACTGTGACCTAAATTGGGCCACAGTTCTTTTATTGTGTTCTTCTGCTCTGTTCTTCTATTCTGTTCTATTCTGTTCTGTTCTGTTCTGTTCTTCTATTCTGTGACCTAAACAGGTCACAGAATATGACACAGCTGTGTGTCATATTCTGTCCTTTCTGTCTTTGTGTTCTAGATATTTCTAAAGTTCAAGCTGATATAATTACAAGTATGTACCAACAAGCTCAACTCTTAACCGTTACTAAATTGGGGATTTTGTTTTGAGTCGACTATGTTTAGTATCGCTTTGAAAATAATACCACGTGTAGAACCTTTCATCGCCTTCCAAATTAAGCAAAGTTTGTGTTTTTACCATGTACTAGCACCGAGAAATAAATTATGAAACAAAAAGGATTTTCACTTTTCGTTCAATTTCAGCACGCTGCAAAAAAAAAAAAAAAAAGTGTCCGATTTTTTATTTTTTTTATTTTTTCGCGTCACATTCTTTTCACAGCCTTATTTTAGCCAAAATACGTTACCTTAGAGGTATTTGACTCTGTTTTGAGTTTTAAGCCTCTAATTATGCTAAAAACGAGTAAATGCCGATGGTAGGTTTTGACGATTTTCGTGCGTGTCGTTTTTGAACCACTCTCAATCTCAAAGTATTCACAAAAGAGCTTCTATATTTTTTATTGTGATATATATGCAAGTCGGTAAAACGAGATTCCAACAACTATTTATTATTCGTCGATCCAATCTTTGTAAAAATCCCCAAACATGCCTCTTCGAACAACTGTGACCTAAACTGCGGATTTTTTTTGTTAGTCGACTATGTTTAGTTTTGTTTTAAAAATAATACCACGTGTAGAACCTTTCATTGCCTTCCACATTATGTAAAGTCTGTGTCTTAATCACGTACCAGTACTGAGAAATAAATAATGAAAGAGAGAAGGTTTTCACTTTTCGAACAATTTCAGCACGCTGTGTAAAAAAAAAAAAAAACTTTTTTTTTTTTTTTTGCCTTGCGTTTTTGTTACACTTTGCTTTCACCCAGAATACATACCGTTAGATTTATATTCACTGGTTTTGAGTTTTAAGCCTCTGAATATGCTAAAAAATGATTCGGTCTGTTATCAACATGAATTTCGGATTAGAAATATAAAATTTCGCATTTAAAAATCTAAGTTTCCAATAGGAGGTGTATTTAACTCTAATGTTTTACAATATTAAACTTTGATATTTTTAACGTAGCATAGACTATAAAGCGCATAGGTTTTAGGCTTGAGGCCCCTCCAATCATGGCACCAGCGGAAATTGTCTTGAAACCCGCTTTCAGCAGTTACGATTTTATAGTGTTTAGAGGTTTGGAATTGCAAACTTGTTATTATACGCCTAACGACATTCATGTCTTTTATATGAGTATTTATTAAGCGTCCCTTAGATTATTATGATAAAGAATAAAATATACAGCTATAACCCATAAACCCACCATCAGCAATTCTTCTTTCTTAGCATATTTAGAGGCTTAAAACTCAAAACTAGTGCATATACCTCTAACAGAATGTATGCCGGCTAATAGAAAAGTGAAAAAAAAACGCGACACAAAAAAAATTAAAAATTTTTTTTTTTTTTTTTACAGCGGGCTGAAATTTAACAAAAAGTGAAAACCTCTATTTCATAATTTATTTCTCAGTATTCGTACGTGATTAAGACACAAAATTTATATATGTGGAAGGCAATGAAAGGTTCTACAGGTAGTATTATTTTAAAAAGAAAAATAAACATAGTCTACTAACAAAAAAATCCGCAGTTTAGGTCACAGTTGTGCGCGGAGGCATGTTTGGGGATTTTTACAAAGATTGGATCGACGAATAATAAATGTTAGTTGAAATGTAGTTTTACCGACTTGCATATATATAACAATAAAAAAATATAGACGCTCTCTTTTGAATACTATGAGATTGAGAGTGATTAAAAAACGCCACACACGACAATCGTCAAAACTTCGTCGTTCTTTCCCACTTCTTCGAGATTGTTTTTCTCAGAAACTAAACATGTCAGGACATTAAAATAAAACGGATTGTTATTCTGGAAACATGCGCCACAAAATATAAAGTTTGAAGCAAAATAAAAAAAATACGACTGCCACTCGTTGCCTGAATCCGAACGAAACCACTCATATATATATATATATATATATATATATATATATATATATATATATATATATATATATATATATATATATATATATATATATATATATATATATAAGGTGTTTTTTAAGCTTAACAGAATTAAAAAAAACAGCAACCATGAAAGCTAGAATAATGCGGTCTCCGCAGGTGAGTTAAACGGCCAGGGGACACAGTAGAGGGGGCTAATCATAACGGTCAGTCGGCTAATTAGTTAAAATTCGTTAATTTTTAATTAATGAAAATATACATATAGTTCCAATTAGAAACTTGCTCAGCGTCATCGAAAGCCACTAAATAAGTAATATTCATAAAGACTTTGAGCTCGTGAGATGCGTAGTAGAGCACTAAAGTTACCACTCGTGGAGCAGGTACAAGGCTAGCGGTTGCGATAAGGCGCCTGCGCAATTTTTCCGTCTCTTATCAGGCCCCAGCCTTGTACCTGCTCCACGAGTGGTAACTTTAGTGCACCACTACGCCTCTCACGCGCTCAACCACGATTTGGATCGAATAATAGATACGGCGCTGGTGTGTTAAAGGGACTTTAGTTTAAAATGTGCAAACTCATAATTACCGTATGCTGTTGCGGCTGATGTTGAGGGACTTGAGGTTGGCAAGACCCTTGAAGGTGTCCATGTGGAGACTAGAAAGCCTGTTCTGACTCAGGTCCAGGACTTGGAGGTTTTGGAACACGGAGAATACCCCGGGCTCGATCACGCCGATGTAATTGTTATGCAAGTCCAACACGCTAACGTTAGAGGGCTCCAGCGTGGTGACGTGGTCGATGAAGTTGTGACTCAGGTCAAACTTGTACAGGTTGTGCGGCCATTGGCTGCCAGCAGGTACCATTTTGTTCCCCTTTCGGGAGCAGTCGACGTCCACGGAGCTCTCTTTCTCCAGGGACGGCTTGCAATCACAAGAGGCGCACAGCACGTTGGTGGCGTGGCAATGTGGACTCGACTGGAGCAGCGTGAGCGCCACAATCGCGGTGACTAGAAAGAGGAGCGACATCTCGGCGTTGTGTGAACTCGGGTCTGTCGGGATTGATGCACCTGAAAGCAGAAACGATAAAATAGTCAGAGTGCAGGCGAGCTGGTGTAAGTTAGTTTTTTTTTGTTTTTGTTTGTCGCCGGCGGGATTGGTGGCCGAGTATGTTAGCATATCACAGTTCGGAGGCATGTGGCGCGAAAACTCGCGCTGCAGAACCCAGACCCTGGATCGATCCCCACCCCTGCCCGTTTCGATATGAATGAGTATTGGTGTCTGTTCACGTATCGCCACTGCGTGATGCACGTTAAAAACCGCGAGTCACCGATCGACTGGCTACATTTTTTTATGTACAGCGTAAACCAGTGTCACTACGCCTCAAAGGCAGATCGACCTTGCGCTGAATAAACACGAACATCTCATTTTTTTTTTTGGTTAGAAAACTTTCTTGTCATTGTGAGTCGGGGTTTTTAACCGTTTGTCACAAAAAAGCACAAGTAGTAATTACTGTAAAAAAAAATAATTTTTTTTTTGATTTTTATGTTTCTATATTTCGCAGATGTTGTGAAGTGAGGGTTTCAGCAATATTTCGAGGGCACAAAATGTCACGATATCATGTGGTTTGCTGTGTATTCGGTACCATAGGGTAATACATTCGCGGGATCCAATTTTGGCAATAATATTCGAGTCCAGTAACTTGCAAAATTACGTTCTTCTAATATTTAAGTCGTTTATGGCATATTTCTTGTTTTTTTAAAAACATATTTTGGTTACTTCATTCAAAAAAGTTTCAGGATATATACACAAGCGTTCGCAAGTTTCAACAAAGCCGCAGTAATGTAATTACTACTCCGCTATGATCATGAAAAGTACTAGGATGGCTGTCTAATCGTTCCTCGGAAACTGACAGATAAGCCGTCATTGTTCAAGACGAACTGATTTCACTGTATGATATCTTTGTTATAAAGTTTATGGAGCAATTTCAAAATTAGAGGAAGCAAAACATGACATTAAAATGTTTCCACTAAACAAAGATAATGAATGCGGTGTAATGACCTTCCCGTGTCATAAACTGCAGCTACACAGGGTATAACAAACCTTGAACGAATATTTTGTTTATGTGTTACGCTTTCGGAGCGACTTCAATAAAAAAAATATCAATCACTACTGACAAGGCCTTTCATCTCGCTCAAGGAAATTGCCAAACTGACAACCACATAAGCATTTATTTCCTTTTTTTTATTTTATGACCGGCTAGAAACGGATGACGACATGATACGACAATCCATCGATGGCCTTCCTAGTCGTGAATCACAAATTGTCGGCTCGTTTTGTACATCACAATTATAGTAACAATTATACCATTGAACGCTCGCCTCCACATTTAAAACGGTGTATTCTTAGTATATGCCATCAGATTCCTCCAAAATGCTTTTCTATACGAAACAGAATAGTGTAATCTAAGCTTAACACCAAAAAACAAAAACTTTTTTTTTCAAGAGTTTTGTGTGTCTAAATTGCTCCAATTTGCATTCGCAAAAACAAACGTTACCTACATTTTTCCAAATAAAAGCTGTACAATGTTTTACGCTGCCATTTTAATTATTCAAATATAAAAAAGGATACATGTATGTTCTGCAGTTTAATTTTTTATTTTGTTAGAAAAACCTAACGCGAAATTACCCAAACCGACAATCGCGGTCGGATCCAAACCTCACCATCATATGCACCCTAGCTAGCCCTAATCTTCCGAGTATGAGTAAGATTGTTGAGTCATTAATTGCGCTCTGGTTTTTCTGTTACTTTTAATTAGCTACGTGAATTGAGCCCAAGTTTCGCGACGTCGAATTGCGAACAAGTTTGAACGGTCAAGGTGAATGACTTTCTCACGAGTAAGTGACGATGGCTACGAGACGGCGGCCAAATACAGAAAAAAAAAAAAAACGAAAAACAAAAACTGCGCTTCTCTAAGCCTCGAGGCACACGAACATTGAGGAAAAAAAAACGAAAACAACTTATCCGTGAGCTATTTATATTCAGGCAGGAAAAAAAAGTGACGCCCATTTTCTCGTACCCAGCTATTAGCTAGTGCACCAGAATTGGTCTGATTATTACACTATCATCTTTAAGCCGTCACGGTTGGGTTTCAAATGACCGATGCAGTAGATATATAATCACGGAGACACCGACATCCTACGAACATCTCATAATAGTCTCCTCGAAGTCCATAGGAACGTCCACTGGGCCCGTGTGAAAGACGCCACGGAGATGGCAGATGCAACAGTCGCAGAACAGTCTCACTAGCTAAGCAACCGCTTCGGTGACTCACAAGATAATTGCATGTCTTCGGTCAATACCACAAATGCCCGTGTCCCACTAGAGCGACAGACAGAAACAAAGGACAGCGACAAGCCTCAAACCCATGCAGCATGCTCGCGATGGCACCTTTGGCAGGCGTTTAGTCGTTTGGTGCTCGTGAAGTAAGCACGAGCGATTGCAAGTCTGCCAAAGATACCCTCGCGTGAATGATGCTCGTGTGTGAGCATAGCCTCCTTTATTCTACAAAGCCTGTCAAATCGCGAAAGACTCTGGTTTGAGGCTTGTCGCTGTCGTTTGTTTCTGTCTGTCGCTCTAGTGGGACACGGGCATAAGAATATTCGAGGTTAGCAAACATCCTACTCTTCTTACATAGAACGCCATTATAGACAGATGACGCAGCTCAGCAATTGGACCCGAACCCGACGCGGAGCGTCCTTCGAAGTGTTGATTGGATACGAAGCCAAGCCGAGCGGTGACTCAACTCTCGGGTCCAATCTGTGACTTCGCTCAATCTCGCTGTGATTACAAGTTCTATTGCACAGGCTGTAACTATTGTAGGTGTTGTAGCTTCAGCGTGCACGTCTCGTGAAATAAGTCGGAAGGACATCGATGGGTCTGAGACCACTAAGCTAACGAAAGTACACAGGTGCACACTATGAATGCATAATTTAAAAGCTTTATATGCCAAATTTATGTATTTGGAAATACGATTCGTATTCCCACACAACTCCCATGTCATAAAAGTTACCATCAAACTTACCTTATGTAACAAAGAAATGTTTGGGTTTGAACTTGCGTTGTTCTAGGCGCGGCATACGGGCGACTATCGTTAAACGTATGCCGACACTTCATTGTATCCATTAGTCGCCTAGGCTTAAACATATCAAAAAGGCAGCCAACGCCCACCTACATTTACGTTTCAAGTATCCCCGACTAAGCACAGGCCTATTATCCGGGAATTCTCTTGCCAAGGAGCCGATCGGTTAAAAGAAGACAAGCTTACCTTGTGAGTTCCTGCGTTTGGCTTCAGGACATGTCTTATCTGGATCCTTATCAGCGCTAGCCCTGCAGTTCAAAACAGAAAATGCAGAAATTACGTTTCTTGCTCCGGCCTTACCCAACCACGCTCACCATGGTAACGCGAGATAAAAGTGTTATCGGCGCCGACAGATGCTGCGGCAGCTTTCCCGTGTGTGCGTGTGATAAACAATTAGAGCCGATTTACTGCGGACGTCTGGCATCGAGGCTACGTGACGACACAGATAAAATGCGTTCGCGTCGCCGTGGTCTCTAAAACAATACCCGTAGCTATACAGGTGTTCTCTATGGCGTCGTGGAAACATGTTCCGATATAATCCACACACACAAAAAAGGTAGATTAGAAAGCGGTTTAAATATAGACCGATACGCTGTTTACAAACAAGTCGGCGTTTGCCCACTCCAGGTGCCTGCACTGCACGTGGGCAGAAACCAGTTCCCCGTGACGCGTCTGCGTGTGGTACCTGCCGACAACAGCGCCACTACAGCGGCATGACATCATGCCCGCGTTCTGGTTCTCATAGAATCAAGTTGCAGCACGAGCGAAAAGCGTTCAATCAATATTTATTTCTTTAAACATCAAATCAAAGTTACTTCCCTCGGAACTTCGCTTCTTTTATGTAAGAGAATATAGAACTCATCAATACTCAAAACACACGAAATTTTATCATTTTCGTAGACTCTAAATTCTCTCCAAGGGCTCTGTTTCACATTAAAGAAAATATAGCCCGAACGCTGAACTGTTTATTAATATTCTAGAAAAATGCCTCTGCATCATGAATTAGGGGCAAAGGGGCAAAACATTGTCTCGCAATATATTCCCTGTCGGTGCTATAATCGAAAGTATCTGCGCGGGCAAGGCCGCTAAGGACACCCAAGAAAATAAAGTCAGGCTCGATATTCCTTCACCACGATCGCATGCAAATCACAGAGCTCAAAGAAATGAAAGAAACATTTAACCGACGTTATAGAAAAAAGATCAGTGCTATTATTGCGCATACCTAAGCATAATGACCCGATAGGAAATTCGGAAGGCTGAGAGGCCTGAAGTGTGGAGCTGACGGCTATGCTCCAACTTTACAAACTCAAGTTACTATTTATATATGATCGGTCAAATTGTGCATCCCGCGTTCCCCACATGCTTAGTACTCCATGACAGCACAAACATTTGCTGCAGCAACAATACTCATAAAAAAAAAGCAACGCATTGCAAACTTTATGCATAAAACACAATCAATACATTAAAATCAGTAACACATTGAGTCCTGGGACTTATGGTGATATACATCACAAGGCCATATACCAGGGGTGGTCAAACTGCGGCTCACGAGCCGCATGCGGCTCTTCGCGGGTCCAAGTGCGGCTCGAGTCTCCATGGTAATCCTGCCCCACCCTCCCCTCCTTTGTCCGCAAGACAAAAAAAAAATTCTAGAATAAAAAAATAAAAATAGCTGTCCAGTCTCGGCAGCCTCGTACTACACTACGTACATAAAGCTGGACTGCTTTTTAACACCTAGATGTATCCAGTGACCCTGTTTCCTTTATTGTTCTAGAAATAACTTCCAACCCTTCACACATAACGGGCGTCAGGAGCAAGTTGCTGGCTAGCGAAGCATGCGTGCATTTTTGCTTAGCGGTTGAAGAAGCGTTCTGCTGCCTGGTGTCATTTGTTGTAGTCGAAAATTATGCCTGTCCCCCTTGGAAAGGTCCGTTCCCTCTATATTGTATCTTGCTAAAAGTAGCCCCTCTCCCTCCTCCCCGCCTTTTTCCTTTTTTTTTTCCTGCAACTCTGACTTTTTGGAGGTTTGTCTGCTGCCCTAAACCTATATATAACTCTGGCCACCCCTGCCATACACGCTCTTCTGACGTGTGCTGATGTATCTGTCGTGCGCTGAGGATATACATATATATGCAGGGTGTCCCATTTTGCATGTACAAAGATTCAAAATGACGAAACAAGTGAACTACGTAAATGAAACCAACTGTACGTCGTTAAAAAGCGTCTTGCGGAAGTGGCTGTATTTTTACACGAAACGTAAGTGATTCAATCATTAATTGTGACTAACGAGCTAAAAGTCTAAATACTTATTTTGACGATGAGGCGTCAGTTCGAAAGTAGCAGACCGCTTTCCAATTGACATTTCGGCGGAGCTGTTTTACACCCCTTTAGAAAATCTGCGCTGCTGCGTCGATCATCCGATACCACCACATTTGGGCATGCGCTTTGAGCGTGCACTCTACACGAGCGTTGCGTTAGCGCACGGCGCATACTCGGGTTCGAATGCACTCGACACGAGCACTGCGTTCACGATCGGCACGAAGTCAGATCCAATGAAATTCGACGACTTCCAGTCTGTCTTGATAGGTTTTTGAAAAAAGGTCAACTGGAACGGGCGTTCATCCAAATCATGTCTCGAATGAAACCTGCACATTGCCAGCGGTAGTAACGGAGGAGCCCTTTGAGGCAACCGGCGCTTTTATATCAATATGTGGAACTTTCGTCAGACAGGAGCGTCTGTCGCCGCACGAACGATTGTCTTGCAGCACTGGCACTCGCGTCACAAGACAATGCACGCAGGCCGTACATTGACCCGGAACAAGCGGAAAGACAACGAGTTGATCAACACTCTATCGACTACTGAAAACTAAAGATGCGGCCAACTTTTGTCGAACCTCGAGGTTCGGCAGGGTCGGCAAACCTTCGACCCTTTAGCAAAACTTGGACAAAGTTCGACTTATGAACGGTGCTGTCCAACATCTACATACATAATTTCAATTTTGGGAAGCGTATATATTATGAAGACCTCTATTTTTTAATGATATGGTTGCCAATGTTCACACCAAATACAAGGAAATATATTTACTTTTAATGCCGAAGCCATCTTAATGTTGTAAAACAAGAGATGATTACACCCAATAGATATTGCACTTTTCCTCCACCAGGTGGCCTCAACACGCTTAAAACGTTTGCGAATGCGCAGAATAGTTAAAATTAGAGACGAAAATTTTCTTTTTACCTCGAACTTCGGTAGATTCACGAGATATCTGTGTTATCACACGAAATATAATATTAATTATATATGGATAATAATCATCCTCACGTTCAACTCCCCTCTCCCGTCTGACGAACCTATGAGCACAACACTGACTTACCGCTTTGTTGCAGACAGGAAGTGTGTTTAGTAGACGGAAAAAAAATCCAGCAGACGCTTTTTTTGTTTTATGTTCCTCCTCGTCAAGGGGAAAGTGGAGAAAGCCAGATTTGGAAAGTATCCGCTCAACCCTCGTCTTACGCTTCCTCGTTCGTCTTTCCTAACGTCTGTGTCACGTAACTAGTTGTACATGCGTAGGGCACCAACTCCATACTTCCCGTCGCCAGGGAGCGAAAGGCATGGGGCACTCTGCTACATCTTTGAAATATAGACCTTTTCCGCTTACTCTCGCCCCCGACCGCCAAGTAGGCATATCCGGTATGGGCGACGAAAAAATATTAAAACGTTTCAACCTGCAACCAGTAAAACAATAGAGGGGAGAGAAAACGAGAATGTGTGACGGTTACGCTTATCCCCTAAATGCATTCTATTGGCGTGGCGACGGCAAAACAATGTTTTCGCCAATACTGGAAGTGACGACAATTCAAGATGGCGACGCCCTTGAAGAAAGGGTCTATAAACTTTTGACGAAGTCAGTTCTTGGAACGTTCTTTTGACCAATCTTTGCGCTTTTGTTCCTATTAAAATCGGCACTCTGGTACTCCTTATCTTACCGCGACATAATGCCTTTTACGTATATCTGAGTTTAGCGGGTTGGTCCCAACTGCAATTTTCGTAGAATTTTTATTAAAGGGACACAGTTTTCCAACAGCAGTTATGCACATAACAAGACTATACGTTTGATTTAAAGAACGAATGGGCCATGGTTTTCTTATTTATTAAAAAATAAATGACCAAATATGAATAACAAAACAACACACGTTGTTAAGACCTCGTGTCGTTAAGCGATATGAACAGTGGGGACGTGGACGTGGCGAATCATGATAATAAAAAAAATAATAAGCTTCCAAAGTTTCAACGAATCATTGAGTCGCGCAGCGGGAAGTTTACAAGGAAGCCTTAAAAGTTGGGAACACCGGTTCCCAAATACGAGACAAACCATCCAACAAATGCCGTCAGGCAACATTTAACGATGACATTTCGTCACACACGCTAATGTTTCAGCAAGGATGCAGAAGAGCTGCCTTAGAAACGACATTTTAATCCTGAAACATGGTGACTAATCCACTAACGAAGCTACGCTTTCTACCAAGGCCACTTTAGACGTCCTGGTGTTTAGATTCATGGTTGCCAGTCATCTGAAACTTTATTAAAAATACCAGGAAACGTCTTTCCGTCCTTCAGAAACGTTAAAACAGTTAGCGTCTGAGCAGAACGCTGTCGCGCGTTCTTCCCGACACCTCATCTACACCCCAGGCAAGTCGCTTTTTTTTTTAATCGGAACGATCGGCGATGGCACCCGCTTTGCACTCAGCGACACCATGGCGATGGCCACAAAAGAAAAAAAATTGGCGAATGGAGTTCCGATATTCTAAGCGCAGCTTTTTTAGCGGCTACAGTGGGAACTGAAGAGAAACACGCCAATCTTCGGTTGGACTGTCCATTCTTTGTCTCGGTACAGTTGAACTGTCAGTAAGTTTTTCTTTGTTGATATTTTTCTTTTAGTTTTAGACAAAAAATGCCATTCTGGGAGTATAGCTTGCTCGAAACCAGTTTTAAAAAACAACAATACAATAGCGCCTAAAAAACTTGAACTGTGCCGTGGGAAAAAAAATGAGAACAAAGAACACATGGCAGCCTCAAATTGGGATCACCGTGTCCCCTTTTATGTCGAGCATATTCTCAAGTAGTTCATAGGTCGACACATTTCGCTGACAATAGTTAACTGAAAACGGTAAAAGTAATTTGCCACGTTACAGCACACGTAATCGAGAATTGCATGTTCTTAACAGACCGCTGTACACGGGCCAGCGAGACGCCGACTAACGTGCAGGGATGAAGCCTTTTGATAGTGACGTCAGCAAAACGCCAGTTCAAGGTAACTAAGCAGCCTCTCATTGCGAGAGGAATAATGAAAATCTTTAACAAAATACAAGCACAAAATATGACGGATGCTCGCCGTGACAAAAAAAGGAAGCACGTGACAAAAAAAAAAACAAAAAAAACAACTAAATATATGATGTCATCGTCAGCGGAACGCCACCGCTGGGATCACAAAGGCTCTAAAAGAACTAACTACGCCTACATGCTTTTATGCAGTGCATCGCCTTTTGTTTGTTCTTTTTGTGATTTTATGTGAAACCGCCCGTCTCCTCCCGAGCAGACAATGCAATGGCGCAGTCGTAGAATCTGCAGATCGACGACGCCCATTTAAACAATTACATTATTAAAAAAATTATAACAGACTGACACACTAATTACCGTGCACCAGGTTGATTGTATCTACACTTCATCTCTAAAGTTCTGGGAAGCACTTACAAATTATCCGCTTATAAAAAAAAAAGAAGAAAAGAACGCAGCTTTTGAACATTAGTGCACCCATTGTTTTTTACTGTATTTACTGGCGACATTTGTGAACGCTACTTTACAGAGCCCCTGAAGTTTGATATAAACCGTAACGGTTCACCAAAAGTACGGGTAGCTTAGTGGAGATGTGTCATTCAGTAATTAATGTCTAATGCTCAGATTTCAGGAGTTTGAGATCAAAAATGAGTATAGTTGTCTGGTACATACCCACTTGTTCATTTAGAGGTTTAGATTTGGGTACTTTTGATTACGGAACTCACAGGTAGGGGGCGTGCAAGGCAAGAGGGTTTTTGTTTTGTTTTGTTTCTGAGCGAAAATAAACAACGCAGTGCCGAACGCCGAGCCTCTGCCCACATTTAGCGCTAGCGGTTGAGACCAGGCGATAAAATAAAATTAAAGACTTACACGCGATTTTCGGAAATATTAGGTGAGAAAATGGCGGCGAAGAAAGCACGTGAATGGATGGAGACAATTGACTTCTCCTCCTGGGGACGGTTTCTATTTTCTAATTGGAAATGTCCGGAAATATCCTATATATCTTAATCAGATAACTCCGAGTCTCCAGACTTTGGCACGCGGTTCCAACCGTTAGCGCTACCATTTGGGAAAAGTTCTGAGCGTTGTATAGCGCTTAGATAATTGTAAGTAAAACACAATTCTCTTTGCTCCCAAACATCCAGTACATGTAGCTTCTCATAATATGGCCGCGTGGAGTTGCGAATCAAGTCAAATGACATTAACACGATTAACAACGAATTCCTCTTGTGCTCGCGCAGCAAACCGAAAACGCTCCGCTATGAATGCCCGAATTTCGTATAGACATAATATAGACTTGATATACAAAAATAAAAATGACATAAATGAGCGTATACAGTATTCTAGAACATTCTAAATGCGACTACGCAGCGCAAACATCTCGCACAAATATAAAGCGTCTAATGTGCAGGAAGACAAGCGGCGCGACGCAAACCCTCACACCGTCTGCTCCAAACGTTCGTCTGCTACCGCAACGGTCAGTTAAAAAAAAAAAAGAAAAAAAAAGTCCCACATACAAAGACGCAAAGAATCATTACGGCAAAAGCGAAACCGTTAGCTTACCTGAACGAGGGACGTCCTCCTACACGAGCGACACCATCAAAATCCGACGGGGAAAATCTAGATTCAGCGTAGACGTACTGCGAACGGCGGCGTCGACGCCATAGTCGCGTGCGCGCGCGCTCGGCGGACTTCGCAAGCTGCTCGCGGCGTTTGCTGCTGCGGCGGCCTGCCTACAGCCGCGTCGCTAGCACCTGTGTAACAGGAAATGTCTGGGGAGAGGAAAGCGGAGAGAACGCGTCTGTGTTTGAGGGAGTGTGTGTGTCATGCGCGTTCGCGGCTACGACCTTGCCGCGTCAGAAGAGGAAAACGGCGGCTTTCACTCTCGCAAGCGCGCGGTGGATTTTGTGTGTGTGTGTTCAACACGTGTGTTGCGTGGGGCGAGGGTGAAAACGACAGCTTTAGGCGGTATGAGTAACATCAGCGATTTGGCTTACGGTGGATCCCAGTAAACGCTACGAGCCCTCATTGGAGCACATCTAACGCCTTTGAGTTTCATGTGCTCCTGGGGAGGGGTACGGCGTCGTTCGGAGCACGTTGTCACCTGAGAAATTCAGAGTTTGGGATTGGCTGGGATGTACCGTAGCGTCCGCATGCGGTCCATCGTGAGGCACTATGTTTCACCGGGCTCGATGTACTGCGGGAGAAGCTACGAGCCATTTAAACGAATCCGATGCCGCGTGAGTGTCGCGTGACCTTTGGGAGGGGCGCAGCGACGCGCGGAGCATAGTCACGTGATATTTGTCAGCGCTAGATTGGCCTGGATGGCTGGTAGCGTCCGCTGCGGTCTATCGTAAGGTGAAACGGAGTGTAGTACAGCCACTGGGGTGTGGGACGAGAGAGTCGCGTAATTTCGGCGCGTGCGTAAATTTGCATAAAAGCAAGGTCTCGGATTACCTGGCGGGCGGGCGTTTGGCTTTGATGTGACGCATCGGAAAAACGCGCCATGATTGAATACGCTTTGAGGCTTTTGCTGGAGATATTGGCGCGCGCGCGGGTTTGTCGCTAATGGGTTTGGCAGCGATGTCGCATTGGTGCGTCGTGATGGGGAATGTGGCGAGCGTGAAGTCATTGAAAAAGAAGCTTTCGATTTTGGCGTGTTTATTGTCCGTAGCAACTATCTATTGTGAACGAAATTAGCCAACACAAAAACGCGTTCACACAACGGCGTTTGCATTCGACCGAGGTCTAGCGATCTCTTAGCACGAGAGACCGGATGGATGAATGGATGAATGGAGAAGGCTGAAGCCTTTTATTCCGGTGGCGGCTGGCGCCTCCCAGCCAAAGCTTCTACTTCGTACAATTGACTAATATCCGATTAAATTATCCTTCAACGAAAAAGGGTAGAAAATATGATATTGCCGCTAAGCAGAAGCCGTTCATTTACCTTTTTACACAACCGAAAGTTACAATCCGTGCGAAGGTGTTGCCTCTTCGCAACCTGGTGCGCGCACTTTCCGTCCTATACAGTTTGAAAGGAAAAGAATAACAAACGTTTACCTTCCCCTCGACTTACGCCACCAGTCCAATAACCCGTGTTTTTGTGACCTCCGCTTTCTCAACGTCTATCGTTTCGTCGCTGCCTTTGAAGCCCAACGGTAGTTCTAAATCGGTATCACCTCGAGCAACTGCAGGATGAGGCCCTCTACATTAAAATATTAGGTGTTCAGCCGTCTGCTTTTTCTCTCCACGTGCTCCGCAGACTGTAACCATTTCCTGGTATTTCGCTTTGGCACACTGGCCCGCTGGCGCCATCTATGATGTCCCCCTGGAACTGAATTTCACAAGAGCGGAGGTTTTGCGGTAATTGTGAAAGCAAATGTCTACCTATGAGAAATGACAGTTTATAACATCGTCAAAAGGTTTTCAACCAAAAACAAAAAAGATGATGCACGAAAAAAAAAAAACAAGGATATATATGGATATTTCAAGTGTCCGCAGCTAGGCGGTAGATTGCGCCAGGGTGAATTCACCCGTCGTAAGAGATTTTAAGAAGCTTTAAGGGACTGGATCGTAAGCAGTCGTGAGTGGGTGCACCGGCCTTCATTCTTGAGCGGAAACTAGTGGTCAGAACCGCTAGAGTGATGAACATTGATGACTTCTAATTTTGTCCCATCCGACTTGTATAAAAAAAAGGAGTTAATTTTTACTTTACTTTTACAAACAAGCGCTAGAAAAGAACTTCTGCCGTTAAATGTGACACGTGATTGATTGATCAATAAAACATTTGGTGGGAACGAGGTCTGAAAGACGACCTGGGAGAGGCAGTTGTGAGCCTCTACATCCGCGTTATAAATAAAGGTAAAAAACGAAGAAAAACAAAACAACCCTGCAATGTATTTAGCATAGCACGTACCACTGCCATCTTCCATATCGCGCAAAATGCGATCAAATTCTGCCGAATTCGCCGATTTTATTCTCAACACTGCGAAAGCGATCTCAGAAAAACTTCTTTCATAAATAGGCCACCCAGGTACGTAGCCAGAAAGGGGGGGGGGGGGGGGGGTCCACGGGGCCCGCCCTCCCACCCCCCAAATTTTCCATTTTGCTGGGACCTCCTCTCCCGCCTCCCCCTCATACACATTTTGTCATGGGTGGGCCTTCCCCAAAACAAAATCCTGGCTACGTGCCTGAGGCCACCACAGATGCAGTGAAAATGTATTCTGAATCCCTTCAGCACAGTGGCGTGCGCTAGGAATTTTTTTCAGGGGGGGAGCTGTGGTGGCTCGGATGCTCATGCTTGGGGTGCGGAGGGGGGGGGGGGGGGGGGCGGCGCCAAATTCATGTCGATATTGTAAGGTCGTTTCCGGGGGTGGGAGGGGGGGGGGAGGGATGAATATCCATAAGCTTCTCCCTGGCTACGCCACTGATCTAAAGCAGGGAACAGATGGGCGCAGAGACGGTCGCCTCACGCTGATTCCCACAGCAACAGCCCAGGACGCTGTGACCTGGGCCTATACCAAGCCACCACGTCACAGCGAGCGCGCAAGTTGTAATGGAAACTGCCGCGCGGCCCATATTTCTGTCGCTCATGTGTTCATTGCTTAACGCCGTTTTATTATGGTACCTGGGGCGCGTCTACGACTGGTCTGTTTAGTGTCCTATCCCGCCCAGACATCAAAAGTGGTCCCGAAGTGGCAACAAATGACGTCATAAAAAAGCCGGAGTTTCACGCCGTCGGATGTCGCGATCCTGGCGGTTGGTCCTAGAAATTCTGGCGAAAAGTTCGAGCGAACGCGAGTGTCGCTGTCGTCGCGGCGTCCCCACTTCTGGCTGCCCAAGCTTCTGTGGACTGTCACACTGGAGGGCGACCTGCGCCAGAACAGGCGTCTGCCACATACAACACTGCACCGCCAGGATCGCGACCGGCGACACCGTAGCACTCCTATGACGTCATTAAACTAAAATCGAGAGACCACTTTTTTTATTATTATTTTTTTTTTGACGCGGTAAACAAATTTGTTGGAGACTCGTTCCAGGCACCATATTTTTATCCAAGCAGTTTTATTGGCGGTTCTTGTATAAAAACTGTATAACAAAACAAAAACAGCGCTAGTGCTTTTATCGCCCCGAGTGTACCGAATAAAAACCACACAAAGCAAAACTTATTGAGGGAAGCTTGACTAGGAATCAAGCCGCACATTCGTGAGGCGTAGCTTCAGATGTAAAAAAATTGCCGCGAAGTTGCGCTCGTGCGTACGTGTTTACATTTAACTTCTCTTTGTGTTTTTTTTTTCATTCACGGGTTTTCGAGTGTTTTTCAACCGTTGCTGGTCGTCTCCACGGCTCGTCTTTTGATTTCTACCGCAGTCGAGAGTCTCCAGATGGGGGCGAACAAGAACTCTGCAACCGTACATTTTTTTAGAAAGCCCCTCGTCGGTAGTGTTTTGTCTTGTACAAGACGGCTTTCGAGATATCCGCTTCGGGGGTTGTTTTGCTCTCGTGATCGCAGCTTGGCATGTGTTCTGTTTTGTCTATAGCCGCTCTTGTGAACCTCGTCGAAAGGTGCTTCGTCTTGCGCATGCGTTCCTTCTTGGGATGCTGATGTTTGCTTTGAAGTCGGAGCCTTTAATTGATTCTAAGAAAACCTTCTGGGATTGGTCGTCTAGATTGCCTCAGAACGCTGCTAAACTCGTATTAAGCCTTGATACAACCTTACCGTCCTCCTCAACGCCACATTCAGTGGGTGCCCCGACCATAGTCTAACGTGGCCGGACGTGCCGGTTGGCATCCAGAGGTATTGCATGTCGCCAGAGGTTGGGCTGTGCCTTGTATTTAGGAGAAGAAAATACCGAGAACTTCTGGCGACAGCTCTTTTGTCCCGTCATGAACAGGGACATAAAACACTGTTTGCCCATTAGAAAATTCTGGAAAGAATGACGGCGAAATAACTAACGAAACAAAACAAAACATGCCAACGAGTGAGTCTCAAGTCACTCTCATTGACCCCCAATAAACGTATAAAGTTATTTTCGGGGGGAAACGTGAAATAGAAAGTCTATTAAATAAACACGGCGAAAAAAGTAAAAAAAAAAAAAAAGTATATTTCATCTTTGAGCATCATGTGTGAACGGATCGCCCACCAAGTTCGATCCTTTTTTCGAAGCCCAGGACGTGTAACGCCATCTCACGGCGCTTGTCAGAGCTGCGAGTGAACCTTCGCCACACTTTGCTCCATGGCGATATGGCACTGTGCAGACACCTCTTTCCTCTTCCACCTTGCTGAAACCTTCCTCTGTCAATTACGTTTTCTTTACGTCTAACTTCTTTTTTGTTTTATGCTTCCCTTTCTTATTTTTTAAAGTGTTTTCCGGTATAAATGGTAGTGACGGCGAAGCACGTACCCACAGGGAAGCACGAGCTTGGAAATCGCACAAGTTATTCAACGGGCGACATAGCGCGAAGCTTTCAGCTTCACCTCCTTCTTCTCGTGTTGTAAGTGTAAAATTTAGTAGATAACATATGCCACGCACTGGAAAAAATCCTTGTACCGCCCTTCGTAGAAAATGTATTTTAAATTGCATCTTAGATGAGGGATTTCGCGGCTTGACCATTTTTATACAGTGCGGCAGCAGTTTAAACGAACTATTATTATAAAACAAAACGCTTCTTGGTTTAACAAAATGAACCGAATACCGCCACAGCTATAACAGTTAGAAATGTGATACTTGTCCGACGCTAAATGTAGCAAAGCTTGCCACATGCTGCACACAAGCGATGGTGAGCGCAGTCATAGTCATAGTTCGCAACTTTACGACTTACGATGTTTAACCAACTTCAACGCTGCAAGCGTAATATTCTCATGAAAAAAGTG